GAGAAAATTCGGGGATATTCCGCTAGTATCTTAAATAAATCCTCAAGTATAAATACAAGAGAAAACTTCAAACCGATATCACCGGGGGAAACCTGATTAAAGAAAATTCATACTAAAAAGTTTACGAAATTTTCTTGCGAAATGTCGCAAATAATATTTTTTGACGAACCTCAAGAAGCCTAACATCCAACCTTCGCAGAATATCCGGGTCATCATATTGAGCGTTAGATGCACGAATAGCGGCTTCCAATGTGCCAGTAAGGTTATGGCGATAAAGAGTATTCGCGGGTTTTGAAAGGCCAGATCTAATATAAAAGAATAGATTAATATACTATTTTGTAAGGATGCGTTACAAATTAAACCTTACCCTAGTTGAGCCATTAAATGTTGTATAAAATCACCTTGACCAAGTAATAAATATCGTTTCAAGGCAGTCAAATGTTCTTTAAGTTTAAATTTAGTGAATAGAATACTCAACAGTCTTTGACTTGTAGCAGTATATGTGGCGTCAATCGAACTTTCAAGCGCTATAATATCGCCGTACTTTAACACTATATTCCATAAAAATAATTATGTAAATTTCTAATTCCGCATAAGTACATTATTTGAAAATTAGAATAATTACATTTATCAGCACCAGTTACTTTCCCATTGGTAACGACCCAATCACTGTCGTGACAGCTATAACGAATAAAGTTAAGTGACTTTCCTATAGAAAATATCTAATCAAAAAAAAAAGGTTATGATAATCCATTTTAACACGTCTCCAAAAAAAAAGGATCACATCAAAAGCTTACTTTTTTTGCAAGTAAAGTACTAATAAATGTTGGTTGCATTTTTACACGATTCAAATATTTTAGTTGCCACAATTGCTCTTCTAAAACATTAGGATCACAAGCAACGAAAAACTCTTCAAAGGGATCCTCCAATTCACCCTCATATATCCAACGCTGCAGCATTTCAAAGAATGGACGCGATACCTGTAACAATAAACATTTTTAAAAAAAAATTAAACGTGGTGATTTTCAAAGAATAAGATGTGAATCACTTCTAATACCTCTTCAAGTGTATTGTTAATAAATTGCTGAATGAAAGGGTCTCCATGATTCGTGTAATGATAAATTGTCGACACTAATGCTCCACCTCTTTGCTTTTTACAACAATCAACAAGAACTGACATGATTCGTAATTTCAAAAGCGAATCTTGCGTCCATACCAGTAGACGTTTTAAAGTAAGTCCTTGCGAAGAAACTTGTTCGCCTTCAACTTGTTTGGTAACTTGAGCTTCCAAAACAGCAATGGATCTATAATATTCAGTCAATTCACGTTGTAAGGCAGAACAGAAGGCCTGATAGATTTCGTAAGATATTCAAACTCTTGATTTTATCCTTCAAATATATTTCTAAAGAAGACATAATTATTACCTGACCAACCAGTCCAATAGAAGGATCATTTACATTTAACGTCACGAACTCATTGACACGTTTATAAAGCCATCCAAATTCTGTAAGTCTATGTAATAAGTCGCGTGTCGATCGATTTATATCTAGCTATTGGTTGAAAAAATTTGGGAAATTTATTA